GCTCTTCCGTCTCATAAGTGAGCATAAGTAAATGAATAAAATCCGCCTGCTGCCTCCAGGGCTGTGTGCTTGTGGCCATGGCCTCTGAAAGAAATTGCTCAGAATATGGGAAAAGCTGTATGCTATTATCCCGCTTCTTTGCCATTTCTAAGAACAGAGCATTAGAAAAAAACCTGACTGTTCAACCCCAGGGAAGTGGTTCAGTAAATGGGTAAATCCACCCGGTCCCGTCCCAGGCCCTTCTGACTAAGGTCTCTGAATATTACGAAAAACACCTGTGTTTGGCTGTCGACTTGAAAAATGCACAATTGAGCATACAGTGAATCCCAGCTTTATTGAAAACCTGCAGAAATATAAAGTAGGTACATGATGTGTCAAGGTGGTGGAATTATGAGGTTTTCAGAATTTCTGTGGTACGATTTCATCAGGTGAGGGAGAACATTTAAGCTCTTTATTCTGATTTTGTGCAGTGCTCCTGGGATTCAGAGCCCTGGGGCATGTGGAGTCTAGCTGTTAGGTACTGGGCTTATCACGCTAACCCAGTTCTGCTCCCATTTAAAAATTTTTACTTCTTTGTCCTATGAGCCTCAAGTTCAAATGGTGAGATAGATGAGCCACTTAATGACGTGAATTAATATACTAAAATGAGCAGAATTGGTGTCTGATGGAAGACTGGGGTCAGGGGAGGTCAGGCCACACCGAAGGATTAAGTTAGAATCGGTCATTTGATGAACATGCTAATATATTTGGATTTTATTAAAGCCAGTAGTTTTATTTTGATGTTTGAGAAATTGGGGCACGCCTGACAGAGGAGTCTGGTTTGTGGACCCTCAGGGCCCCAACTGCACAGCGTGAAGGGTGGACGCCCTCCTTGCCCTGACCCCACCCCGGGTGGCTGGGAGCTGCTCCAGGACAGCCCCGCGTGTCCACTGCACACTCCTCTCCCTTCAAGAGGGGCTTCTGTTCTGATAGAGACCCACAGAAGCCCTGTGAAAAAGTCCAGCTGTTCCACCAAACCAGTTGTCAAACTGTTTTTCTTGTTTGGGATGACTGAATTTCCAAAACGTGAGCTGGCTGAATGCGCTCTTTAATTCTAACCTACTGGAATCTTTCTTGGGATTTCCAGGGACATTTTACACCAGCTTTCAGCAGGTAGCAAGCACTGGACACAGATATTTTATGACAGTTTTAACTAGAAAAGAACGCGCTGCCTGCCAGGGCACTTGGGAGGGTGGACCCCATACTCCGTGTGTTCTAGCGCCTGTGTCTCTTCTAACTTCGTGTCTCATGTCTTCATGTAGGTGAGAGGCCTTTCATGTGTGAAACGTGTGGCAAGAGTTTCGCTTCCAAGGAGTATTTAAAACATCACAACAGGATCCACACTGGGTCCAAACCCTTTAAATGTGAAGTTTGTTTCAGGACTTTTGCTCAGCGGAATTCGCTTTACCAGCATATCAAAGTCCACACAGGTATGGCCAGAATGTTGCCAGAGAAGGGAGGTCAGTGTGGCAAGAAAATATCCCAAAGGTTTTAGATTTTCTGGAAAGTTATTTGGAATTTAGCTTTAAGTCGTGCGTCCTAATAGCATTTAAACATTTTTGTCTAGTTTCTGGCTCTGACAAACTGGAAAGGTGTGAATGTGTGAACATGGATGTGGACGTGTGAACCTTTGAACACCTTGAGATTAGAATTAGGGGTGATGATCTGCATGTGCTAGTGAACACTCACGCCAGCGCAGGGTCACTTAACGACTGGAAAGCTGTGGGTGACGCCACAGACCCCTGGGGCTCCTGCATGGTCGGCTGCTCGTGCCCGTGTCGCCCTCCCCGTGGCAGCTTGGGACGCCAGGCGGCCCAGAGCAGCCGGTAGCTCTCGTGTCCTCCGTCCCTTCCCTCCCAGGGGAGCGGCCCTACTGTTGTGACCAGTGTGGCAAGCAATTCACGCAGCTCAACGCGCTCCAGCGCCACCATCGGATCCACACGGGGGAGAAGCCATTCATGTGCAATGCGTGCGGGCGGACATTCACCGACAAGTCCACGCTCCGGCGGCACACCTCGGTGAGCAGCCAGGCTGGCCCCCACGGACGGCCGCCGGACAGCAGAGCCACCCGCCCCACTTCCCTGAGGCCCTCAGTCTGTAAGGGGGTACCAGGGGAAGGCAGGGCTCTCCCTCCCCTGCAGCGAGGGCGGCCAAGGCGGGGGTGAAGCAGGGCCTGGGGCATGCTGAGTCCTTTCTGGCAGGGACCACGGTGGCAGACACACGTCTGACGGTTGGAGAAGGCTGTTGTACTTGGTAACGAGTGGCTGTGAATTGGGGGCTCTGCAGATCCTGGTTAGGGACACAGTGGGTGACCTCTCTGTTCTGCGTTTGGTCCGCAGATCCATGATAAGACAACTCCATGGAAGTCTTTCCTCGTCATCGTGGACAGCTCTCCCAAGAATGGCGATGGGCACAAGACTGAGCAGCCCGATGAAGAGTACACGCCATCCAAACTCTCTGATAAATTGCTGTCTTTCGCAGAAAATGGCCATTTTCACAACCTGGCCACTGTGCAGGGCAGCATGCCTGCTGTGCACGATGACAGTCCTGCGGACCCGGCCTGTAAGTCGGACGGCCCTGTGGGGTCCCAGGACACGCTGCTGGCCACCACCATCAACGAGCTTAGCGAGCTGACGCCGCAAACGGACGCGGGCCCACACAGCTCCACTCTCTGACTCACACGGACTAGAGCACGGGGTCACCTGCCCCGTGGTCCCAGCCTTGCACCTGCACGCATAAGGGCTGGACGCGAGTGTTCGTCAAACTGTGGGCAAAGAAGTGGGCAAGGATGGCTTCCACACTTTCTTGAATTTCTGCTAACTTGCACGTCTCTATCAAACCGTTTCTCATGCCTTCCCTTAGAAATCCTGATCTGCATGGTCTCAGCCACACTTTATCAGCAAACAAGGCAGTTAACATAACCTCACTTAATTCTGGTGGAATCATCCTAATGCTTGATGACCTTGACATTCCTGAGGCTGGGGTTACTGCTCAGCTTCTTCGTGGAAGTTTATTTCTGATACTTTAAAGCTATTTTTCTACCAACCTGAAGTAAGACTGGGACCATGTATTTATTTTCAGCTGTTTCTTTCCTGTTGAACTGAAGCCAGTCAGGTGCTCTGGGACACTGGAATGGGGCTAAAGAGACAGATGACTGCACTTGTCCCCCTCTGCCCCCCTGTTCGTAGGCACTAAACTGAACACTTGTAAAGTAGCTGCTCACAGCACACATGCAACTAGGAAGTTTGTCATAAAATGACCTGAGATGTGGCTACAGGTTTCATTTCTGAAAATCCAATTTCAAAAAGCTGTCCTACCAAAGACTAGCAGAAAACAGCGTAGTAGGTTTTGCAAAGAGGTGTGAAAAATTAAGCCAGGGGCTTGAGAACACTTGAAACATAGTGTAGTTATTTTATCCACGAGTAGCAGTGAGGTGGTGGCAGCCAATCTAAGAACAGAATACTAGTAGTTTTGCTAGGTTCTTTTGACAATTTCTGTGATTTTCAGAAACCCAGCATTTCTCATTAACATGTCAAGACGCTGACACAGGCAAGTCACTGGCGCACACGTTCCCCCGGGAGCATGAGTGAATTTGGCAAAAGGGACCAAAATCCTCCGTACACTCCTCTTTGATCAGCCTTAAGAGTGGACCATGGAACCGCCAACCTTGTCTTAAATGCACCTCTGTCTCATGCTGGCCTTTGGTAATTCCGCTGTCCTTACCCAGCCTGGTTGATCCAGTGGTGAGGGCGGGTCGCCGTGCGCACAGTGCTTCGACTCACACGTGACCCAGGTAAAAAGAGAAGGGGAATTGTCACTAGTTGCTCTTTTTCTTACGTTTAATTTATTACACTTGCTGTTTCCTCGTTTTCTAAGAGGAAGGGTACTTTATGCAAGTCCAGGATGAAGACACAGCTGCACAAGATGCCAGAAAAAGACCAAGGACACTTTCTGCCCCATGAGATGGTGATGTCAACACCAAAGGTGTCGAAGGCGTCCCAGGTGCTGACACGGGCTGCAGGTGGCAGTACCAAAGGTGTCGAAGGTGTCCCAGGTGCTGACACGGGCTGCAGGTGGCAGTACCGAATCCACCTCCAGCTGTGACAGCGTCACCCACTTGTGTTCACAGAACAAAACAGTGACTCTCACACACAATTTACTCTCGAAAGGAGAATGAACCTGCCCGGCTAATGAACTGTTTCTTGGGGTAAAGTCATCTTAATGAGAAGAAATTTAAATAATAGATTATTTTGTTACCTATCGGAATAATTTTTGTCTTGAATTTGTTTCTTTAGAAATTCTACAGAAAACTTTAACGTGTTAATAAATGTTTTGTAAAAATAGTTTCGCAAGTCTAAGTTTATTTCCATTATTAGAATTTAGGTTCTACAGAAATAAGATTCCTGATTCATACAGGTAGCTTAATTCCCTGGTCCTTGGAGTCTCGCCACCTCCGTGCACTGCACGTGTGTTCCTGACACGTGACAGGCCTGGCCCCGCACGCGCTCGGCTTCGGTAGCTGGTGCCAGGCGGGGGTGCAGCCATGGTGACTGCACCTCAGAGGCTCCTCCATCTACGGTCACTTCTCTGCTTCCCGGGAGGGGACAAGGGGGCTGCCGCCCCAAACCCTGCCGAAGATGCATCTCATCTCGGGGATTTGTGGGGCGTCTCCGTTTCTCCCCATCCAGGTGCTGTGTTGCCACGTGACTGTCAGCCCCAGACGATCAGGTCAGGCCACACCAAGGCGGCGATTTCGCACCTTCCAACCATCGTGTGGGAGACGCTCTCAGCCCAGACTCCAAAGCTCCCCTGCCTCTGCTTGTAACCAAAATTTGTTGTACAGTTTGAAAACAAAATTGGCAAAGTGGTGGGGTAAAACCTTTATTAATGGTGATCTTCACAGAAATGTGGTTTTGCCAACGGTGATCATCTAAACTGACCAATTTGAGTGTAAGTTATCATTTAATTCTAACCTGTTGTATATCTTGCCACAGCAGGGACATTTTTTGAGACCAAGCAAGTGCCTGTCCCCTTAACTGAACTTGATGGTGTTCCTGTCACTCTAAGTAACATTATTTCAGGCGAAAGTCCATTTGTCCACAGGCACAAAGATGGGCACATCCGTCACCCCCCAGCTGAGCCCCGGGAACTGCCCACTTCCCTCCACCAGTTTGCACGGGCCTCTGGGACCCTCACCGAGGCTGGCAAAACCCACCACAGGAGCTTCTCTTAGGGAACAGAAGAGACATTTGAATGAGAAAGTAACCTTGAGTATCAACAACCTGGCAGAATTCCTAGATGGGACGGCCTGTTCAACCATTCATTTTGAATTTGCCTCAAATGATCTTTGAGGGACCTGAACAAGGCCCGCTGACAGCACCAAGTCAACGTGGCTCCACCAAGGGAGATGGGGCTTCGGGCTCCCGGCCTCCCGCTCTGAGGTCTCCTAGGGGCCACTCCTCCTTCAAGCCTGCCAGTGAGATCCCTGACCAGGCAGCAGGAGGGATGGGAACGGGGAGCCTGCAGAGCCCGGATGGCTGCTGCCCACTGCCCGAAGGTTTCCCCGGGGGACACCTTCCAGGACAGGAAGCCACTCCCGACCCGTGCAAACCAACCAGGAAACTCACCATACCGTTCACAATTTCGACTTTATTTACTGTACAGATTCACATGAAACACACAGGCTCTTTGCGAAGGTGGATTTATCATCACAGGATGAGTTCTCATAATACAACCTCCCCGACAGCGCGGGGCAGGAGAGGCCGCGCCAGGCCGGGGCCCCGGGAGGCAGGCTGCGTGCCACAGGCCCTGAGAAAGCCACGGGGGTTGCCTCTGGGCATCTTAAATGCACAATATCAGAGGAAACAATAAAGGTTTACAGGGACATCATCACACATGGTCACGACTGCAAGAATACTGTTTTCAAATCATTAAATAAAGAAGGAATTCACATAAGCTATAAAAACGTTGCCACAAAAAGCAAAGCTTGGGCTTCCCTGGTGGTGCAGCTGTTGAGAGTCCGCCTGCCGATGCAGGGGACGCGGGTTCGTGCCCCAG